TACTGTAATCAGGTTTCCTTAGCAATAGGCTCTCTAGCCCACAGTGCAAGCCATACTGTTAAAATCTACAAAAGGGGGATAATATTTTCCTACTTCCCAGGGTGTGGTCAGAATAAATTAATTTATCAGATGCTCAGATATCATGGGGATGGGGCTATATCAGTATGTATATTGATGTTTAGGTTTTAATCAGTTTTTACTGAATCAGTGCCATAACAACCATGGGGTGGGAGGAAACTGCTGCTGGAGGAGGTGGTCTCCTTTGATAAGGTGTAGGACCAAGGTCCATTCATCAACACTTAACATGCCAGTGCACTTTTTGTAAGAAAAGGTATTAATCTCTATATCCTTGCTTAATTCCAACAAACAATTATATTTTACCTATCTAAAATCCACATTCAGCATCAAATGAATATAAGATTATTCTTCAGTTACTGTCCTAAACTATTATGTAGTATTGCTGTGTTCTGTTAAACAGCTATTTGCATTACACCCCAGTGGTGGCAGCAGTTCACAAGTAGGTGAGATAATTTTGAAGTGAATAGTGTGTAAAAGGCATTATGTAATTGCAAGTTGATAATACTAGTGATTTTCAAATTAAACAGATGCTTGCCAGGTTGCAGTATGAGAAAAAAAAAATATATAGCATTTGTCAATACTCCTGCCGTAGTTCCAGATATAAGATAAGCAATAATTTAAGATCAAAGAACTCTATAAAAGATTTCTATTGAATTAACGTGGTGATTTCTGTGTCAGTCAGTTAAATAGGATTACATGAGGTGTATGTGAAGGCAGAATATGACCTGGAGTCTTAATTATTCACTTTAACAAAGATATAACAGGATACTTCATAGGTGCAGTACATTTAGCATGGTGCTCAGTGATCTCAAAAGAAGAGGCCATATCATGGCAAATTACATATAGGCAAAGTAAAGTATGCCAGCTCATGAAAACAAAACAGAAATTTTTTTGAAAAGCAAGCTCAGACCTCCGAGCAGCTCCAATTCATCATTCAGGATGTGACCACTGTGATGTTACACTCCATATTCTTTATGAAAATATGCTTATGATATGATTATGACATAACTGAGATATACTTTATGCAAGATGGCTCATGTAAGAAATCATTGGAAAGGTTATGATTTACTGAATCTGATTATCCAATTTGTATGCCTGTATCATTTCTGTATTTGAAGTTTGGAATATTGACCATGTATCTGTATTTCAAATGTGCTACTTTGGGTGTCACCCACAACTAATCCTTCAGATACAACAATGGAAAAGCCAGATAGGGCGATGGCCCATTAGCAAAGGCAATGGACTGCAAAAGAGCTTAGTCTTCCTGTAGACGCTCCAGACAACATAAGAGTAATGACTGCCACAGACCTGCAGAGACATGGGTCTGTGTCACCTGGTACTGGACCCATCCCTGGGAATGCCAGTGTTTTTCCACTGGAAGACAAAGGGTTCACACCATACACAAAAGCTATATAAGGCAGGGGAGTGACATCATCAGGTTTCTCCTCTGCCTCCCCACCCAAAGAGACACTGAAAAACATCTGGAAGCAAGAACTGAACTGAGGGGAGAAAGGTTGAACTCAGGCTGGGAGGGTATCTAGTCTGTGAGTGGAAATACGGGAAGTCTCAAACTGCAGGCCAGTGCAGCTGCCTTTCAAGACTTTCTGTAATCTACCTGTGGCAATATTTACCTGTGGCAATAATGAGAAATTACATTTTGTAACCGGTTTCTTTAATGAATCAAGCTCAGTTTGCATGTTTTGTTTTATTTGCTTAGTAATCTACTTTGTTCTGTTTGCTATCTCTTATATTCGCTTAACATCTACTCTTTCTAGTTAATAAACTTGTTTTTTGTTTATTCTGAAATCCGGTTTGTACATATCATAATGGGAGAGGGGCAGAAGAGGCTATGCATACCTTTCTCCACATTGAGGGAGGGGGTGGATTTCACAATACCTTTGGGTCTGCACTCCAGGGGAGGTGGGCACCAGAGTGCTGGGTCAAGTCCCTTAAGCTGAATCTTCCCAGAGCTGACCTCAGTGTCTGTCTTTCTGCAGCAGAGTGTGGCCCTGCCTGTGTGCGTGCTAGAGGAGGCTTAAGAGCCTGGCTCAGCAAGACAGGTTAAAGGGGGCTCATGCACGCAGAACAGGCGGGCTCAGTGGTATCTCAGCACATCAAGTGGCACCTTGAAAGGGGGCAACCCGTCACAACCAGCACTTATGCCACTGTGCGTAAGTCTTAAAAGTTCTTGAAGTAGACTTGTGTATTTACTATAAGCAGTCCAGTGTTTTTTTCATGACTACCAGCACATTTGATATGTACACTGTAAGACAAATTTTACTTAGACTTGGCTAAGTTTTGCTGATACTGCAACAAACCCATTCCTTCTACCTTTATTTGCTTTAAAAGGGAATTATTACACGCTAGCGTGAACGAAATACTGCTGAGAAGACCTACTAATCCTATGTTTGATCTGATCAGGTATTGCAACTATTTATAAATCAGAAAGCTGAACAATCAGAAAATGGATGTCAGCATATTAAAAAAAACAACAACCTTTCCTTCTCCTGAGACTTCAGAACATTTCAGCATGTATTAACATTTCCTAACTCTTTTTTTGAAAGGAAATTATACTTTAAAGAGTCACAGAACCAAAATGAATAATGAAGTAGAACGGTGTCAAATGAAACAATCTAATGAAATACTGCAAGCTCTTCTATTTTCTACCTTAAATTCAGCATTACTAAAAGGACGCTGCAGTATAAAAAAGGTTCATATCTTTTGAGATCTGTGAAATACTGTTACCATTAACAACAATACCACAGTTTTGTTATTTTCTAAGTATTTTATAAGGTATTGATTTGTTATGAAAAGAAAGAAAGTCAGGAAGTGATTTAATAATTGAGGTGAAAAATAGTCACAATCGTCTTCAAGGTAGCAAAATTAGTTTATTACCATGTGTTCTGACTATACACCAAAACGGAAATGAAAGCCTTTTCTATCAAAATAATATGACCATGAATTACAAACAAACTGATGATATTCCCCAAAACATGGAGGATAGATTACTGATGAACAGCATATGAAATGAAAAATTCATATGGGGAGGAAAACCTATCAGGAGGTATCTGAAATTTGGCTACAGAAAATTAACCAGTTTGAAGATGTAAAAATTCCAGTAATAATTACTAACCCCCCACACTTGGGTAAGCTTTAATTTAAGGGGAAAAGAGAATAACCTCAAAGATAATATTTTCAAGATAATATTCTCAATATAAAACTAGCAAATGTAGGTTAAGTATAAAGTCTCAGGTGGTGTTCAATTTTGGGGTACATACAGGCACATCTGATTTTGCAAAGGAGCAATAATATGGGCCTTGTTCTGCACCGCACACAGCTCACCAAAAAGCTCTTCATATTGACCTATATCATCACCTTCTGTAGGAAAGGAATACCATGTTTCCTATGAGGTATAGATCTTTTTCTAATGTTTGGTAGGTTGGAAAGTACTTTGAATTGGCACTGTCAATTTAGATTTATCATATAATATGTGTTTTTAGCTTTTTTGCCTTCCCTTACTGTTGGCTGTCTCCTAACAAGGAAGGATACCATAATTCCATAAAATGATGATTTTTAAAAAGTTCAGTTAAAATAATTTGCTATCAGAATCTGTAGTTGCATGTACAATCAAAACTAAAAATACTTATTACACAATACATCTAAAATTGACAATACTAATTTAAAGCACTTTCTAACCCACAAACAACTAAGATCTGAAGACAACTCAATGGAAATATCTCACTCAATGTGCAAACGTGGCCAAAATAGCCAATAGCAAGGGAAAGATAAATTATTAGAGGGGAAAAAAAATTAGAAAATGTATCCTGCTCATTTTGGTCAGGCGTTAAGCACTATCAACTCCCACTGAAGTTGTCAACTCAGAGTGCTCAACATATTATAGGATCAAATCCTCAGTCTGTCAAAATGGGGAGTTTTTTGCCTCTGTTTTTCAATTGTATAGCTTCTGTTTGCTTGTCTTGATTGTGTTTTCTAATTCATGGTCTGTTTTGATTTATTCTCCGAACACTTTCTAAACTGATTATGATGAAGGATCAGAAAATCAAAAATACAAAACCAAAACAATGGTATTTCCTTACTTTTGAGTGTTTAACAGTGCTACTGTAACATTTTCTTAATATAGATTTTTATGTAATATTATATATTTCCATAACTGTATTAATTTGGGAAGCCTAATATTCAAGCATTGGTGCTTTAACAGGATGTTTAAATCCAATATTAACATGTACAAATCATACTTAAAATGCATAAATGCCCATTTTATAAGTTTAAGTAGCAATGTCAACACCCAAATACTACTTCCAGTCACTCTTTGTGGACATATTTTAAAACTGTCTTGTGGTGCATTCTGAGACATTTTGCATGGAAAATGCTATACAATGTTTTAATGTTGACAAATACATTACAGGTTTATAGCGCTTTAGAATGAAATATAGAGTACAGAATATATTAAATTATTCAGTCTATTTCTTTTTATTTGTAAATCTCATTGTTTCAGAAATAATCAGTATTATGAAAAATTCAGTCTAAATGGGATACCTAACAGACATCATAAAAACAAATAGTGTAAGAAGTTTGTTAATGAACAACATTTCAGTTACACAAAAATGTGTTCTGTGAGCAGATGCATATTACAAACAACATCTTTGTTCTTATGGTAAAATTACATATGATTTATACCAAAAGTGCTTAGCTTGAAAACTATCCCCTTTAATAAGAGGCTGTCAAATACGTTTATCATTCCAATCCTAAAAACAGCAAGTTAGATAAACAAAGATTTTAATATTTTTTAAAAAGATAAAACACACATGGAATTCTGTAAATAAATTAGCTAGCAATTTCATTATCTAGTCTGTGTAGCAAAGAGGGGCTATTAATGAACAGCTATTAAAGAAAATCCTCTAACTATATTTAAAGTTTTCATTCTGGAAATGAGAGTGTAATATGTTTCAGCACTTACAATATATCTTGTTTATGTTTTAGAAAATGCCATCAAATATTCCAAGAAAAGGCTTAACATCATTGGTTTCATCATCTGAAAGAGATCTAATAAAAATGAAGCAAACCAAAATAATTAAATTGTGAACAATACTGCATACCAAAACCCATGAAATCAGAATATTATTTATAATACAGCCAGGAAAGATCTGTATCTGAAAAATAATTTTAAAAAGTCTATTTGCATGAAAAACTAATTACAACTAGTAAAATAAAAACTTGTAAGTTAGAAAGAAGAGCTTGGTCTATGGCCTAAGATTGTGAGGTCCTCAGTACCTTGAAGGATAAGAATCTACAACAGAATATAAAAATTATTTTTATTACCTGACATCAATTTCTTTTTTCCTTTCTTTGTTGCAAATAAAAAAATTCTCCTTTCCAATGAATTGAGAAGAACCTGAGATTATTTCTGAGTTTGGAGAAAACTCTCTGTTTTTCAACTTTTGTGGAGGATTTGGATGTTTTCTTTTTTGGAAGCTGAACTGAAATGTATGGATTACAAAATAAACATGATTAAAAATAACAAAATTTTAAGACAAACTTCCATATTGTAATAAACTCTAATATATACCATAGCATGCAACCAAAGCTATGCTTAATGTGATAGAATTCCAAACTCTAAAAATAAAGATTTGATATATAAAATTGATATTACACTAGTCAATGGGATATCCACGTGATTAAAGTTTAGCATGTGCTTAAGTGCTTTGTTGAATAAAAGCCTAAAAAACCAACTGGCTTGTTGAAATCAGTTCCAAAATACTGCATAATGGAAACTATGGGTCAAATTCAGGTCCTATTTCTTTTTGTAGCGAAGGGCACAACAAAGCCAAAAATGGATGAATACAGGTATTTTAACTAAGATAGCTTCCACAAAAATGTATGTGGACAGACACGCCAGTCATTCAAATAGCCACAGAAAACTGAACATGGCAAAACTGAGTAAGTTGACTATAGCAAACAAGTTCACCCAAAAAATCCCTTCACTGCATTGCAAGAAATCCTGTTATAAATATACCTTTACTTACAGTACTTGTATTTCCATATTGTACAGATAATTTCTTTTCTGATGGTGATTTTAATGTGGAAGAGGCAGAATTTTGTAGACGAACATCAGACTTATCTCGTAACAGGCAAAAACTGAAAATGTGGAAGTTTGGATAATTTAGATATTTATGCATAAGCATAAATGGTTTTCTCAAAGTTCATTGCTTTCAATTTCTAAGTTATTTAAAATAATTCAAAAATTAACTATTTAAAGTAGTTTTTTAAAATGTTCAAACTTCTGACTTTAGAGCTTGTATCCCAGCTACTTAGTCCTCAAGTTTTCCCAAAATCTTAGGACACATTGATACAAATTTAACAATACATATGTCCCTCAAATATAGACAATACTTTTACTGAACTGAATAATAACTAGTGTTATACATTATACTTACTTTTTTGAAATGTCACTTGTTACTTTGCTCTCTGAATTCTGGAACAGTGGTTTACATTCTATTGTACTTTGAAAGTAGGTGTTTCCAGATCCTATATTAGAATGATAATTTTAAAATATAGTCACAAAATAGCCAAAGAACTCTTTATGAATCCTTTCTGGAATTTCAGAAGTCATAGTCTCACACAGGAACTTTAATATTCATCAAGGTTTTAATATTTGTTTGGCTTTTTGATTAATTTTAAAATGTTGAGGGAAACAGTCAAACTATCAAACGTGAAGAGTCACATATCCTCCGAAAGATCTGAAGCTATTTCTTTCTTACTGTTCCATGAGTGTTGGTCTTGCACAACTATAGAAAAAAAGGAATGAGCCAAATATTCTGCTGGTGTAAATCCATGATCTCAGTGGATCAACTTACTGATAGTCCATGTGGTTCCCTGGACTGGGACCTGAACTGGGGCTCAGGAGACGTATGTTCTATTCCTAGCTCTGCTGTGTTATTTTCAGCAAGTCGCTTTACCTCTCTGAGCTTCCATTTCCCTTCCCACCCTTTGTTTGTCTTTAGCTGTTTAGATTTCAAGCACTTCAGGGCAACAACTATATACGTTGTACTATACGTTTATACAGTGTCTAGGCACAATGGAACCCAAATTGCAGTTAGAGCCTCTAGGTGCCACTGTAATAAAAACAACAACTAATAATAAAAAATTTGGTCCTCTTGTTGGTCTATATTGGCAAAAATGGGACACAAAAATTCACCACAGGTAGCAAATCTGGAAATGGAGGTTACTCACCTGTAACTGAGCATTCTCTGAGATATGTGGTCCCTATCCTTATGCCACATGTGGCACGCAGGTGCTCCATGTACCCGAGACTTCCAGCAAGTATTGTCACTGCCTGTGTAGCTGCTCACCTCATTCTCCATACTGAGGGAATAAGAGGTGCTTTAGATGGACACCTGTCCAGGTCTTCCTCTTAGCATGAATTAGAAAGGATCTGAAGCAGAGGGGAAGGAGGGTGGGTGGTGGAATACAGATACTTCACAAACAACCTCCAGTTACAGGTAAGAAAAAAAAGTTATTAACCTTTTGTAACTGTTGTTCTTTGAGATGTGTAGCTCATGTCCATTTCATGCCAGCTGTATGTGCACAGTTGCCAGAGATTTTTCCCTTAGTGGTATCCATAGGACCAGCTCTAGTGCCCCCGGAGCCGTGCATGTATGCCCTGGTATAAGGGGTGCTGCAAGCTCCGCATCCTCTCAGTTTCTTCTTCCCAATAACTCCAACAGAGGGGTACGAGGGTGGGTCATGGAATAGACATGAGCAACACATCTTGAAGAATAATAGTTCCAAGAGGTTAGCAACCACTTTTTCTTTGAGTGCTTGCTCACATCCATTCTATGCTAGGTGACTCACAACCAATACCCTCAGAGGTTGGCTTGGAGCTGATGGACCTACTGACTGAAACATCACTCTTCTGAAAATGGCATTATGACGGGTCTGCTGCTGATGGCGCAGCGGGATGTGAAGGTATGAACTGACAACCATGTTGCGGATCTGCAGATGTCCTGGATTGTTATTTGTGCAAGGAACATATCTGACACAGTGTTCCTTGCACTGAGCTTTCATAGAATGAGCAGTCACAATGGCTGGAGATGGAACCTTCACCTGCTTATAGGAAATCTGGATACAGGCGATTATCCGGGACAAGATTTTTTTGGGATGACACCAGCAGCCCTCTCATACTTTTCGTTACTGCTACAAAGAGTTGCGTAGACTTTGCCAAAGGGCTTACTCCTCTCAATATAGAAGGTCTACTGTATGGAGCCGACATTCCTCAGTGGTCTTGTGAGGTTTTGGGAAGTAGACAGGCAGAATAATGTCCTGGTTGTTATGGAATTGTGACACCGCCTTTGGCAGAAAGGCTGAATGAGGGCACAGCTGGACCTTGTCCTTTGTCACTGTATAAGGGGGTTCTGACATAAGGGCTTTGATCTCGGAGACCCTTCTGACCGACGTGATTACCACCAGGAAGTGACCTTCCAAGACAGAAGCAGTAAGGAATAAGATACTAATGGCTCAAAGTGTCTTCCCTTGGAGACCATGTAGGAGCCATACCCACATCTGCCTCCAGGTGGTGCCAGGGAACCGGTGACCAATGACGGACTAAAGACTGTTGCAATGGGAACATAGAGGGTTTTCCTCTGGGTGATTCTATGATGGTTGGTGCCACGATGGAGCTCACCGCCTCTTGATCCCTTCTATCCTCAGCAGCCATGGCTGTCAGGGAACCTTGGGGAGTGGGTGGGATTGGGAGGATCCTTTGCCAACTGGAAAGCCTCCAGAGTTGAAGGGGCCTGCAGGCGCGAAGTCCCACAACTGCTCCTGGGAGTCGGGGGTGGGTCCTGGACTGGACTCAGTGTCTAGGTAGAGTCGCCGGAGCCCACAGAGGCTCTAGGGAGGACAAGTGGCCCAGCATGGGTCTCAATGCGCTAGTCACTCCCTGCTTGTCCCGCTTCAGCACCAGAGGGCACGCTATTTCTTATGCTTATTCCTTGGCACTGGAGATGGAGAATGGTGCAGGGAAGAGCACGGTGCCGGTGGAGCGCTTTGCATGGAAGCCAAAGTACTCAGCGCTGATTCGGAGCAGCTCAGCTCTGAGGCTGGTCTGAGTGCTGCCTCCTTGAGTAAGGCCTTCAGACGAACATTTCTATCTTTTTGAATGCACAGTCTGAACCCCTGCAGATCTGGCATGTCTCTAATGTGAGTTTCCCCGAGGCACTTTAGATACTCGAATGTGGGTCACTTACCGGGCTTGCAGCAAGAGGCACATGGCTTGAAGCCCAGGCTCCGGGGCATGCCCAGTCCCTGGGACAAAAGTCCCTCAACAACACAGACTACTATTCACACTATATACACTAACACTAGGTAAGAACTATATACACTAACTACAAAAACTATACAATATAGTACAAAGTCCAAACCACTGGGAAAGAAGCTTTGCAAGAGTAAGAAAGATTGTTCCAAGCAACCGTCACGGGCGGTAAGAAGGAACTGAGAGGATGCAGAGCCAGCAGCACCCGTTATACCAGCACATATACATGCAGCTCCATGGTGTGCTAGAGCCAGTCCTACTGATATCAGGAAGGGAAAAATCTCTGGCAACTGTGCACATGACATACACACACCTAGCATGGAATGGCCATGAGGAAGCACTTAAAGAAATCCCCATTTCTTCTTTGAGTGCTGGTCCCTAATGTATATTCCACACCTGGTAAGCGATACTCAAAGAGGAAGGGGTGTGAGGATGCAGTTGATATAATGTCTGTAATACCGCTGTCCCAGCTGCTGAATCTGCAGAAGAGGCTTGGAATAAGGTGTAATACTTTGTGAAGGTATGGATGGAACTCCAGGTTTCTGCCTTACAAATATCCAGTATAGGTACTTATTGAAGAGATGTTACTGAGGTTGCCTGTGCTCTACTGGAGTGGGTCCTCACTCCCTTCAGAGAAAGGAGATTTGCCAACTGATAACAAAGAGTGATACAATCAAAGATCCACTTAGAGAGTCTCTGATCAAATAATACTTGTCCCCATGATCACTCTACTACAGTGACAAAAAAAATCTAGACATTCTTCTGATTGGTTTTACTCTTTGAAGGTAGACTGCTAGAGCCCATCTAATGTCAAGTGAATGAAGTCTCCTTTCTCTCTCTGGAAACATAAGGATTTGGAAAGAATATGAGTAAGCGAATAGACTTATTTATGTGAAACTCAGAAATTACCTTAGGGATGAACTTTGGGGAAAGGTGAAGGGAAAACTTCTCCTTATGAAATGTGGTGTATGGTAGATCATCCATAAGTGCTCCCAGTTCATTCACCCTTCTAGATGATGTGATGGCAATGAGAAAGGTGACCTTCAAGTATAGGGACATCGACCACATGGCCAACAGTTCACACGGTGGCTTGGTAAATATTGAAAGTACAAGATTGAGGTCCTATTGCAGTGTTGGCTTCACTACTGGTTGGAAGGTCCTTGTGATTCCTGTAAGGAATCTGATCATCACTGGGTGAGTAAAAATAGAATAGCCCTCTACTGGAGGATGGAAGGCACCAACTGCTGCAAGGTGGACCCACAGTGAGCTACTGGAAAGTCCTGATGTCTTGCGAGTGAGGAGGTATTCTAAAACATCCCCAGAATCAGCAGGCCTTCCTGCTAACTATTTATGTTGCACCTCAATAGACAAATGCCTCCATTTAGCTAGATAGCAGTTTCTGGTAGAGACTTATCTGCTGTGTCTAAGAATAATTTGAACAGCCTCCACACATGAATGCTCTAGGCCTGATGCCTATCCAAATACCAGGCCATGAGATGCAGAGTTTTGCGCAACTGGGAGGTACATCGCAAAGAGTATGATGTGGTTCCTGATACAACAGTTCCACCAGTGTACCATCTCTATACAGAGTGCAAGAGATTTTGCTTCTCTTCATTTGTTTACACAGAAGTGTGACAGGGTGGACTACGTGCAGAGGCCCCCTGCTGGAGGCCTCACAGTCCTGCCTCACCCCACCCAAGGAATTTGGCTCAAGGAAAGAGCAGAGGAGAAGTCCTCCAGGCAGCCCAGAGTGGCTGCAAGAGATGAGCCAATCAGAGGCCAGAAGGACCATATAAAAGGTAGCAGCAGAGGAAGATCAGTCAGTTACTGCCTGGAGCTCAAAGAGGGAGAACCGGGTGCCTGGCTGGCTGGAAGAGCAGCAGGACAATGGACAGGTCAGTGTGGGCAGGCTGAGCCCAGCACCTAGCCAGACCAGGCGAGGATATTGTGACTGGTCCTGCTGATCTGGCTGAAGTCTGAACCCAGGCGAGGACTGCTTGAAGGACACCACCCAAGGGTACAGAGGTGGGTCCCTGTTGAGCTATTAAAGAAGGTAGTGGCTCCAGGAAAAAAGCCTTTGTGCTACGGCCCCATTCCAGGGCTGTGAGAAAAAACTAGAGTCTGCATACCCCGGAAGGGGAGACAATGTGTGCAACTCGTCCAAAGGGATGAGCTGCTGAAGACCCGGCAAACAACCATCAACCGAGGGGTGCTC